AACCATCAAAATATAAAAAATTAACTTCAGGCTTTGTGAATTAAGGATATATGAAATATAAATGAACTGCATGACAAGACTTGAGTCCCATCCTCAGGATATCTCATTGTATATGCAAATATTCCTAACTAAGTAAATTCAAAACATTTGTAGCTCCAAATATTTCAGGCAAAGAATATTCCACTTGTAAAAGCATTCATCAAGATTATTCGTGAAAAATATTAGTGACTGGCTTTTGTTACAGCACTTATCGAAGGCAGAATTTGATGAAAATTCATCAAATTAAATTAATCAATTTGAAAAGCAAAATAATTTATGGTAAAGAAATTTGAGATTATACTACAGTATCCAAGAAAAAAAAATGTGCTCTCCACCTCAGATGCAGAATGAAGAGAAGAATCAGGTAAAGCAATTTCATTGCATTAATCCATGGTAAATAACAATTAAGACAAACCCTACTAAACATTTTAATCTTTTTAAATTAAAACCAGAAGTTATATTTGATATTTTTAAAACAAAATCACTGGTAAATTTCAACATAAGAAAAAATTAAGACACATAAGAAGGAGGAGGAGACTACAGAGCAAACCCCTCAAGAGACCTGCATCAGGATTTTTGATGAAAATCTACGTGCTAAGTACAAGATGAGCGTGCCTGCATCTGCAAGTGTTCCTAAGAGACCGGCAGGGAACAGGGCTGGAGGCCTCCCCTATTTTCTCTTTCATTTAAAGGTGGGAATTGTGTAAGGTGTTCCCTACTGCTAAGCATCCCACTGGTTCTGAAATCAGTTTGCTAGTGCACTGAGAGCCGGGCACATTATTTGCTGCTGAGAAACCCAATCAGCAGACAGTCGTGGAACACTTCAGGCAGGGGCCTTTGTTTGTATTATTGCTATGTGATAAAGGAAAATTAATGTATTTGGTCCAAAAGTAACCCCTTCCGAGGCTCCCATCTCTAGGGCTACACACTCGTAAGTATGAATGGGAGAGGAGGTGTGTTTCCTCCCCTTCCAGGAGCCGCTCTTACCTGCCAGCCTGCTGCAGCAGTATGATGGGAAGGGTGGACAGTGCCCCCTTCCTTGCTTCCTACAGTGGAGGAATAATGGACCTTTGTTCTCCTCAGAATTAAATATCAACTACAAACCAGTAGGAGTCCAATATTCAAAGCTTACACTGAACAGGGAACATAAATATTTTTTTCAGCTGAGAAACACTAACTAATACAACACAGTAAACATTATATAAAGGGCAATTGTTTTCATCTGCCCCCTTGATGGAAATACTGTGAGATTCAGCTGGGAGCATTCCATGGAGCTAGCAAGTATTTCAGTTCATTAAATGGAGTTGGCTGTCTCCCCATAGGGTTATTTTAATAAATTATACATCATTCGCTTTCTAGAGTAATAATCCTTTAACAGATGTGACCCCCATATGTTAAATTAGAAATTTTAGACACTAAGTGATGTGTTTTTTTAGATGTAACAGAAGCTTGGTGAAGGCAGAGGCAGTCCACACTTCTACACACAGTCATTATGAACACCATCTCCGTGGGCACTGTTCAGGAGAGAGGAGCTCAAGCCCGGCTTAATTCCAGATTCAGCTCTAACAATCTTGGTCTTCTGGTTCTCTAACCATTTACTGAGTATCTAAGCAACCAAAAGCAGGAGCCAGGAGCTTGTCTCCTGGGTGGATCACATGCTCACACAGGGAGTGTGCGGGTCCCATTCTCAGTCAGTAAATACATAAGAGTGAGGGTGTCTTGATCAGGTACCTGCTCAGCAGCAAACACAAACATCAGATGTAAGAAAAAGGCAGACAAGCCAGCAGAACAAGTACACGGTCAAATAGCAGTACAATGCAGGCAAAAATATATAGGGCTACCCAATGTGAACAACCCCCAAAGTGTTACTGCTCACTATAATAACTGGTGGTCATTAAAATCATATTTATAGTCCCTAACTGCCTGCCTTGAAATTCTGCACAGCATCCATCCTCAAAGAACAGAAGCATATGTAAGATATGTCAGAAAATTATCTTCCAAATTGAATTACTTTTGTTTAAACAGCACGTAAAGGTATTTTAATTTTTCTTCCTTTAATATTTCCATGAAACAGTGATTTCCCATCAATTCCAAAACAATGCCCTTTATGTAATCTCCTAGCTTGACTATGCATCAGTGTCTCTCGGAGAACCTAAAATGAATAGGGACTACCAAATTCCAGTGATAAGTAAACAAGTGACTCTGAGACACAAAGTCTCTGACACATCTAAAAACAGGGCAGAACTTATTACATCAAAAAATGATTTAGGAATTTACAAGACAGCTTAGTGCTTAGTTTTCATCAAATTGACTCACTATCAACAGGTTCTGTAGATCTAATGTGTTTAGCAGCATAGTAGTGACTTTCCTTTATTTATCATCTATTTCATGATAGAAGTTGCATGGAATTTCTACGTTTATATATATCAGAGGAGATTTCACCATCAGTCTCTAATGATGATCTGATGATCATAATAAGAGAAATCTCAAGAGAGTCTTTCAAGTTTGTCCCCGAAACTAAAACTGAACACCTTACAGAAGTTATTAATCTTGACTTTTAGGAGAGATGGTTGACAGGAGAGGATGCCCACAGATAAGCAACTCAATGGTGACTATCCTGGTCTCCAGAGAATGAGAAATGCTTGTGCTTATTTGGGCAACAGAAAGAGGATAAAACTATTTCTGATAGATTAACAAATAGAAAAAATACATGTTTAACTGGTACATTTATCACCATAAGCAAATATGATTTTAGTTTAGACTAGAACCAGAGACTTAAACCTATAATTTGATATCATGAAGAAGCAAGCCATTACTATTCTAGACAGAGATGCATTTTTATTGCTGGACCTTGGTGTTTTGTCTCAGGAATGAGTCAGTCGCCAAATAAGGGAGTGGACCTTGGTGGCTAGCTTTAGGGATGTAATCTAACAGTTTTTAGCAAAGGGGAGAAGGTAAAAAGGCAAAACCTGTCAGTACCATGTGATTGCCATATTCAGGCCTGTGTTTGCCAGGCTCGGGCCTGCTAGAGCTCTTCAACAAGAAATGAAGCTACATCAAAACGAACCAATCTCCAAGCAGGAATTCAGCCAATCTCAAATGTTTTTCAGTCTCAGGGATTGAAGTTTTACCAATATTAATATGTTGAAAAATATTCTTTGTGAAAAACATATGACTCTAAGAAAACAAATATAAACCCTATGCCAGTTAGGTTGGTATCTGGCATTTTCCACTTTCCTGGATACCTCCCTACCAAATAAATCTGTTCAATGAGTTTCAGTGAAGACCTTCTTTTACCACAGTGGACACAGAACTCCCCAGTGGAGAGCAGCAGAGAAGCAACATATACCTCTGATGGGAATCTCCCTTAGGGGAGTAGAGCAGAAGAAAAATCTTTTCACTGGTGTTGTAGCAGACTGCTACATTTCTGGAGCAGTTTCCCTCAGAGTTGACTAAAGCAGAAAAGTGAAAATTTGGGCTGAAGCTAAGAAAAAATGGTTATCATTGCTTGGAAACTTCCTAGTGGAGAAGAGAAGAAATGGACACTTATGTCAGTAAATTCTATTAGCAGAGTGGAGCAAATCTCATTTTAATTGTTCTCTCTCTGAGAGTATCTGGAGTGCTACATCCTTCCACTGGACACAACTTCATGTGTTTCCTGACATCTTGACTGTCAGGATACATTTTCCTTATGACTGTGGCTTTCCAGGATATCTTCCCTTCACAGCTGTAGATATAGCAAGACTTCTGACACTCAGGGTAGAGTTTTCTTCAGAGTCCTAGGTATCCAGGATACATTTTCTCTAAATATTCAGGAATAGCTTGACTTCCAAACAGTGAGGGTACCTTTCTCTTCAGAGCTGCAGGTATTCAGGACATCTTCCTTTCACAGTTGTAGGTATAGCCTGACTTATGACAGTTAGGAAACATTTCCCTCCATAGCTGTAACACTTGCACTATGATTTTAAATGACAGTGTGTCACTTTTAGATTTATGCTTCTCTTCAAGTGCATGAAATAACAAATTCAGGACTAAAACCTATGGTTTGTATTATTTTCTCTCCTGTTTCTGTTATAATGTTTATGCCACCATATAAAAGATTTTATTTCACCCTTGGTTCTGGAGGGATACAGGATCATCATGAAAGTTGCATGGCAGCTAAAGCAGGGGTCTAAGAACTCACATCCTTAAGCTTATTCATGAAGCAGAGAGTGGGAACTGATTTTGGAGATTACTCCATTGTGGGTTCTCTTGAAATATTTGAGGTGCATGCCAAAGTGTGCTATAGGTGTGGCAAATCAAATTAGTGAAGTTTATTTTGATGTCTTTATATTCCATCTGTGCCTTTTGTTCATTTTGTACTTTTACTTAGTGATAGGTATTTTTCTGCTGCAATGAATAGAATGTTACCCCCATCATCTAAGTGGTCCATTGTTTAATTTTTTTAATATCAGGCAGCGTATGATCATACTTTTCACATAAGGATTTCTCTGAAAGTGTGGTTTGTTGTTCCTGGTTATGTTTTTCATATTTTCACAAGTACCCTTCAGATTTTCCTGTTTAATATTAAGCCTGGCTTGGATGTCAGTAATGATGAGGGATACATTTGAACTCATGATCCTCATGTGTCTGCCTCCTGAGTACAAGTCCAAGTGTAGACGATATACTGCCAACATGTGCTGTTTTTCAACATAATTTAGGAATGTTAATCTTAAACTGCTTAATGTAAGATAATATAAGAAACATTAAATACATCATGTGTGTATTCAAAAAATGCAGCTGCAATATAAAGACACAAACAAGTTAAAACACCAACTGAGAAATGGTATGTTATTTTAATAATAATCAAAAGAAGTCTGGAGTACGTATGTGCATGTTCATAGTAAATTTTAGGCCAATGAATATTATCAGCAATGCATAAAGATGTATCATACTGATACAAGAATTGACACATAATAAAATATGATAATCTAAGTGTTTATTATGCATATAGTAACAGAGCTAAGAAATATATGGATTAATACTGACAGAACTATAAGAAGATTATAAAAACCTGCAAGCCCATTAGATAATTTGATAATTCATGATTGAGGACAGGATGGAACAAGAAAAATAATAATGTTCATAAGAATACAGAAGACATGAGCAGCAAAATGAAGCAACTTGACTTAACGGGCATTTCTAGAACAATCCCCAATAACAGCAACACATCACTGTAAATCCAGAGGGTGACAAGCTTCTGCTTCTCAACAGGAAGAAAATGAACCAAAACATAAGGGGAAGAAAGAAAACAATAAAGATGAGAACAGATGCAAGTAACCTACAAAGCACAAAAGTAATATAGCAACTAAACTGAAGTTCATCTTAAGAGTTAAATGAATAAAACGCCACCAGATCAATCAAGAGAAAAAACAAATAACCAATATCAGGAAAGAGTTCCACCACTTAGTCTAGCATTACCAAGAGGATAATAAGAGGACAAACAATGTTATGTAAATTAATTAAGCAAACTAGAAAAATGAACCAAATTCTTTAAAGTCAAAAGGTAAAAAGGTAAGTCAAGAAGAATAAAGCTGAACATCTCAGAAATCAAACATGTTGTTCAAAATCTTTCTACAGAGAAAATTCTAGGTCCAATAATCATCATTGGAGAGTTTTATTAAATATATCAGTAAGTAATAAAACATAAATTCTTGAAGACAACAGACAGTCTCTCAACTTATACCATGAGTCAGCATTACTCCTGAAACCAATAGCAGACAAAGACATTATATGAAAAGAGCACTAAAAACCAGTGTGCATTATAACACAGGTGTAAATAGTTCTAGGCAAACAGTTGGCAAACCCAACAAGATGGTAAAGGAAAATATATAGTAAGGCTTAACTCTGAAATATTTACTACTAGTCTAACATTTGAAAATCAATTAATCATACCAATACAAAAATTGAAAAACAGAATAAATATTTGCAAGATATTTTAAAATGCTGTGAGAAAAATCTCCAATCTCAAGATTAAAAAAGAAACATACTAACAAAAATAGGCAATGTTAGAAGAAACATTTCTTCCAAGAAGAGATAGCATGAGAAAGTTCAACAAAAATTCTCAAAATCATTTGTTACTAGAAAAAAGAAAGTTAAAACCAAATGGGAAATTAACACAGACCTATCTGAATGGCTTCAATGGCCAGCAATTGCTATGTAACAAATGTTGGCCAGGATGGGGAAGAACTGAGTATAAATTTAACCAGTACATTCATTTGGAATAGCTTAGCAATGTCTTAAGACAATAAAAATATACCCTATATTTCAACCTTTCTATTCCTATATATCCCAAGGGAAATGAAAGCATGTGTCTTCACAGTGACTTGTACACAGATTTCTTAAAATTTTTGGCATGGCTCAAAACTGCAACTAATCCAAATGCCTGAAAGTGGATAGACAACCTCTATTGTAGCAATAAAATTTGTAGTACTTGTCAATAAAAATAAGCTATTACTCAGGAATGAGTAAAGAGCTACAGTTGACCACTACACATCAGTCTTAAATTACCATAGAAGCCCAGTGTTGGACCATATTAGGTATGTTCCAGACATTATTGATCCATCCTGATGCTTGCTCTGCAAGAAATGATGGAAGAAGGAAAAGAAAAGAGCTTAGGAAACACAACTCCACCCTGAATATGATACAGGCATACTTCCCATAGAATGGTTAAAGTGATACTTGAGTAAGAAATGTTGAATAATTTAATGATTGTATTTTCATCCCTGTAAAGGTTCAGCAGTTCAGTAAACTGCCACTTTATCATTTCTTTTCATTCCTGTACTTCCTGCAACTAAAAAACTAAAAGTTAGAAAATTTGATACTTCATTGCTAGAAGCATATAGGGAATTCTTAGGATTTTAATATTATTTATTTTTTGTTTTATTATAAGTTTTTATTATAAGTTTTATTATAATTGTGCTTATTTGTATGTAAGACTAAGAAAGTGTAGTGAATTTTTAATATAACTGTTTACTTAAAGACAATCCAGGAATCCAGTTAACAAGATGTTTCCATCACCTGTTACTACTTTGTGCCTTTTTATATTTTAGTTTTCTGAATTTTGTTTTATTTGTTGATTTTTTTTCAAAGCCAGAGCTAACCTATATCTACTTATCCACCCCTACAAAGTTTTACCTATATTGTCTTAATCCATCTTTTATTATTGTAATGGAAGGTTTGAGATGATGAAATTTTTAAACTAGTAGTTTATTTTATCATATACTGCTGAAGGTTGCAATATACAAGACTGGGCATCTGCATTTGATAGAATTTCTGTAATTTAATTGCTCTCATTACAAAGTGGCAAAGTAAAAAAAAAAAATAAGCTGTTACTGCATGCTGTTACATGGATCTCAAAATAGTTGCTCAGTGAAGCTCTACCTCAAGTACTGCACACTCTGTAATTCCCCTAACTCAGACTCCTGGGTAATGGAAGTGAATGCACAGGGATCGGGTGGAGCAGTGGCTGCCAGGGGTGTGGAGGATGAACCAGTGGCTACATGTCATGTAGAGGATGGAGCAGTGGCTGCCTGGGGTGTGGAGAAGAGAAGAGCACAGGGAAACTTCTGGGTCTGTGAATATGGGTATTTTCTTAATGGTGGTAACTTCCTTCCTTTGATACATGTCAAAATTTCAGATTGCATTTAGTCAGTTTCTCTGTCACCTATATATCAATAAAATTATAATAATATGTAAAACATAATTACAATAAAATTATATTTTAAAATTTAGAATAATTCTGAGGGGCTGGAGAGATGGCTCAACAGTTAAGAACATATATTGCTCTTGTACCTCCAGCAGCAAGGGATTCAACTCTTCTGCCCTCCATGGGTATCTGCACTCATGTACACACACACATACACACACACACACACACACCATAATTAAAAATAAATCTTTAAAGGAAAGAAAGACTAATTCTTAATAACACATTTGAGCACTTTCCCTATGTAGTATTTAGGTTTCCATATTTAATCTTAAGAACTTATATATTGTTTATCTTTTGAAGTGAGATCTAAAATCAGTCCTAAGACTGTGATATTGGTTCTGTCTAAAGTGTCGAAACTCCTCACACAATCCTGTCAGAAATGACTGAGTTGTCAAATCAGTTTAAACACCAGTACCCACTGCTGTGTGGTGGGCAATTCCAATACAGGCCATGGCATATTCAAAGCCATGCAAACAGTAGCTCCAAAGCGCTTTGATACATATTTACTGAGGTCTTGCCTCATGATAGTTAGGGTAATAGATTCAAAACCTGTTCAAATATAAACACAAACCCAAATGATTCAGAAAATGGGGGGTATGAAATAAGTAGTAGAGCAAGCTGAAAACTGAGTCAAAACAAGAGCTACAATGTGCCTAGGGAACACAAAGAGTTGCTTCTACTTGGGTTGGTGCAAAAGGAATTTAGGAAGAATCTGATGTTTGGAGTCATGAAACACAGATCTAATTTGGGATGCATGATGGAGGAAAGTTGATTCCAAAGCAATAGGACAGTGCAGAGGTAGGAATAGAACGAAGGAAAGTTCAAGAAGTCAGAGACACCACAGAGGAGTTTCCGGGGTGCTGAGACAGGGAGAGTGAGATCCATGGCTACACGGCAGCCTGAAGCCACCAGATGATGTGATTCTCTGACAATGTCTTTAAGAAGGAAGACTGCTCTGCAGACACTATGGTGTTACTATGGCTTTAGTGGGTGACCATAAGGGCTAGTTTGAAGTTTTCTGGTACATACATAAGCACGAATAATGTGATAGGCAGATTTTTTGAGATATGATGACCACAGGTGAAATCACAGGGCCAAAAGGATGGCAGTGAAGGTAGAGGAACGAATAAATTCCTGGTGTAAATGAAATGACCAAATGTTAAGAGAAAGAAAAAAGTATTGAAAATAAAATTCAATTTCCTATGTTTATACGCAGTTATGTTGTTTATTGTAATGCATTGGTAAACATACTGTCATTTAGAGAGAAGGTGGTGACATTCCAAAATATCACATACTATTGTCATCCCCAAAGATATATTAAACTGTGATCCTTTATATGAATAATGTGTGGTTTATTTTTATGCAACAGCACACCACATGTTTTGGTTTTTAACAGATGGCAAACTCCTTCTACCACGGTTTTAAGCTTGCACACTGGGAATGAAAACTATTTATACAGTAAACACTTTAGCTGATCCTATCTTTGGACAAGTTTAATTAAAGAATGAGATACCAATTGCACAATCAAGGAGACTCATGGGAGGAAGCAGGAACTTGCTTCTTTGCTGAATACATTATTTCACCCCAGCAATTTAAAGCGTACATGGAAATTAATGGCACTATTGAGTCTTACAATAAATCCCTCAAGCATTTAGCTTTTTTCTGTTAGCTGTTTTCAAACTCCACTTTAACATCCAAGGTGGAAAGAAAACTTAACTTGCTATTTATTTAATGAGATGCCACCACAAGCACTCCCCTAATGGCTCCCCAACACACTCACACCTCATTCTGCTTGTTGATGTTCACTTTCCATAAATACACACTTCATAGAGAGCCAGCCCTGGAGAATTAGCATCCTTCTCTTGCAATTAAAACATTAAGAACACTAGGATGTCACGTCAATAGTTTATCACATTCATCAAGAGCCTTGTGGAAAAGGAACAAAGACAGACTAATAGATTTCTTTTCTATAGCACCTGAATTTGGAGATCAGGTGACTTTTATTTTAAACTATATTTTATTGTTTGTTTTCTGTTGAGGCTGGATCTCTCATAGCCTCAGTGGTCTGAAACTTGATATAGAGCCAAGGAGTGATCTTGAACTCCTGATGCCCCTATCCCACTCTATCTGGGATTAGTGACATGAACCACTGTGCCAGATAAGGAAGCATCTAATGATTTCATTGTTGTTGTTTGTTTGTTTTAAATCCATCACAGGAAAAAAAGGATGGTAAGAGCCACTAGGATCTGTATAGCAAGGGGCCAGAAACAAGCCAATACAAGCTTGCACTCTATAAAGAAACCGCAGGAATCCAAAAATATGTATTATTTTACATGTGGAAAGGAAAAGCCCCCAATGGCTAAGTGATGTTAGAGTCAAAGGACAAAAAAGAAGTGGTAGATCAGAGGCCCCCAGCTCTGCTCAAGAGACCTTTGTGTTTCTTTCACAGCGGCAACATTTTCTTGTTTTGAATAAGAAATTTCACACAGATAGGAGGAAATAAAGTGCTCATGAGCAGGTGAAACTCTGACTACGTTAAAGAATAACCAGGTTATTACTCTCAAATCTCCCGCATTGCCCGTGAGCCTTTCAACACCCAATGCCATGTTCAGACTCACGCTTGAACCTAAAAACTCAATAGAACTCTCAGTCCTGGTGTCTGAGAAAGCAAAAATAAGTACCCACCCTCCTCCCACACCATCCAGTGCCAATGCACTAACCACGCTTGATGCTCTTAATCTCAAAGGCAATTTAAAGATACTTCTCATTTTTTTTCTTTGCAACAAGTCTCTTCACTTGTATTTTATAATCACTGAGAAATACTCAAGGAAGTGCACTGTCAAGCTATTATCATACTTCTCAGGGGGTAAAAGACAATCTGCCTCTGGCCTCCTTCCTCACAAGGCACACAGGCATGCAATTAATGGCGCAACAACACATACCCTGCTGGGTCCTATACTGCTTGACTCTCATGACTGTCTGCAAATGCCATGGAAAAAAATATACTGCAGAGAAATGCACATGGGGTTCATGGCAGCAGTTAAAAAGAAAGATGCAGTATGAATCAAAGTGACAAGGCACAGAAATTAAAAGCTCACCCAAGTTCATTGGTTTTATGTTGAGGCTATAATTTGCAATTAATGTTGTGTCCAGCCTCTGGCTATCTGAATAACACCAGTAACAACATCACCAATGTCAGTACTCACTCTCAGAACTCAGTGATCTTCAGGGGAAGAGGAGCCAGGTTTCCATGACACATAAAAATCAAGGTTATTATCTGAAGCCCTGCTTTGTCAAACCCTGGCTTTTACATAACGGGTGACTACTGAAGGCACCATACTGTAAACAGATTTTATCCGAGTAGAGGTTTGGTTTATCTGCTTTGTTGGTTGGATTTTTTTGTTTTGATTTGTTTTTTGATGTTTTGAGATAGGGTTTCTCTGTTTAACAGATCTAGCAGTCCCAGAACTTGCTTTATAGACCAGGCTGGCCTTAAACTCACCTGTCCCTGCCCCTCGAATGCTGGGATTCAAATGTGCCACCACCACTCCACTCGAGTTGAGATTTAAGTGTTCATCACACAACTTGAACAGACTTTGGATGATAGTTACATAGTTAACTAGGCTCCAGACAAAGACTTAATCTTGAAGGAGAATGCTAACAAAATCCAGCACATGAATCAGGACCACAAGAGGCAGGGCCAGTCCCATCAATACACTGAGGACTCAAAGTAGAAAAACTGTGCAATTCACTGGACAGTGAGAGAAAAATGCGTAAGTTTTGCTTTCCAAAGAGTAATGCCACCAAGGGTTGAGGAACTGTATGCTGCAGAAAGTGTTTTGTGGGGAGCACTGACCCTCACATCCTAGGAGTGATGCTTTTTGCAATAGGGATCAGTTTGCTGTGTGTAGAAATTCCTATAGTTCTTTCCTCTATCAACCTACTATCCCACCATGAAAAATAATTGGGTATCAGAATTCACAGAGCTATTACATGAATATAACCCTCACTGGATACTTGAGGAACAGCCCACATGCCAATGCCATGCAAGAATGGCTGTAGTCTCAAGACACAGCAAAAAGAAAACATTAGAATACATATAATTTCTATTCTTAATTCCTTCCTTGGTACATATGGATGCCTTTTTAAAAACAAACAAAACAAAACAACAAAAAAAAACCTCAAAGAAAAACAATAATTAAGCCG